CGAGTGTCGCAACGTTCCACTGGCGCTCGGAGGAGCCGGAGCCGCCGTCGAGGGCAGCCCGGGTGCCAAACGGCGCCCACCGGCTCAAGCCAAAAGACGAGGCGAGGCGTCGTGCCCCGAAGGCCCCCTACGCCATTCTGGCAGGTCAGCTAGAAACAGCCCACAAGCGCCTGTCCCCGTCGTCCGGAGAAGATAAAAATAAAATAACATACATTTATGATAAAATAACATACATTTGTGATAAAATACACTAATAAACACGTCGATTATTATCCGTTTGTCGCCCTTTCCTTGCACAGACTTTTCCGGCAGCGGACTCGCTCAGTGGCAAGGTGATACAGTAGCGAGGGAAGCTTATGAGACTCCTGTCTTCTTGCTTCGGGGTTCGTGATTCAACGTTCCCAAGCCCTTGCTAAGGAGCGCAGGGGAAGGAAACCGATCCATCACTGCTCCTCCTCGATCCTTCGCTCATTTATGTTCCACCCCTGGTTGGAATGTAACCCCAAATTGACAGGGAATTTGCAGCGGTGAAAGGATCGGCCGCTTGGTGCCTAGGGTTGGTTTAGACTCCCTTTATTGAATACGGTCCAAATCAATTCCCCAGTTTCACTGCTGATATTTATATCACTGGTATTCTGTTGATTTATTTTAAAAGCTATTTATCCCACTCTTCTGTTCAATAAGCCGCCGCCACCCCAAGTTTTGTCCTACTTTGTCCTTTTGAAAAACTGAACAACAAAAAAAGCAGACTTAAAAAAATCAGAAAGCAGCAGAAATAGTATTTTTAGAGGGAAATAAATTGTTTTTACTCCAAAGTTGACTGGCCATGTTGGCTGGGGAATGCTGGGAGCTGTAGACCCCCCCAAAAAAAAAGTAAAAAATTTTTTATCTTTGCTCCATAAAGAGTGTACATTTCAACAGCATACACATTTCTTATGGCTTTCACCCTGCAAGGGAGAATCTAATTGCTGAAGTAGTCCTGCCTTTGGTCCCCCCACCTGCTAATTTCTGAGAGCCCAAGCATTCAATGTCAATTCCTGAGTAGCAATCTCAAACCATGGACAGGTTCATATGAAAGTGTAGCATGCAAAGCACTTCACAACATAAATTTATTCCCTGGCATGGCTTAGGTATTGAACTGGCCTCTGGCAGATATTACTGAAATATAGATCTGAACTTGACTTTCGCACATTTCACTTTGATATTTGCATTTTGCATGAAGTAGAGGAAATACTGATCAGATATAGATATAGATAGATAGACAGACAGACAGGATAGATAGATAGATAGATAGATAGACACACACACACACACACACACACACACACACACACACACACACACACACACACACACACACACACACACACACACACACAGGAAGATCAATCTACACACACACACACACACACATTTGTCCCTTGAATTGCACAGGTCTGAGCAGCTTGGCTTTGGTTGTACATGTTTCTCCAATAAATAAATTACTATAAAATAACTCATCTGCTCCTATTGATCTCCAGGAAGTAGCCTGAAAAAGGTGGGGTCTCAGACTTAGCGAGGCCCCTGTTGTTGGGGGTGCGATGGCCCCTGGTCTGATGGTGGCAGCCAACTGGCCCCCTGTCCTGGCATGGTGGCTCTATCATGGGGCATGCCAAGAGACTGATGTGGGTCGTCTATTCTCTGTCTGTGTGAACATGTTAATCAGCTGTTTATGGTTTGTAATTATTTTTGGAGGAGCATGAGAGTTACACACAGATCTTCAACTACACGGTCGTCAAGAGCCCTTAATCCTGACATTGCTGAAGGGAGAAGTGTAAAGAAAGATAGATAATGTATTCGCGAAGGCTAGATAAATCTGTTGTATAGCTTATCCTGTTTTTTCTGCCCACTAATTTCTCTCAAGCAGACTTCAGAGACTTATTACGATCGTGAATGCCAGTGTGGTATAGTGGACAATGTTACGCTATAACTGGGGAGACCTGAGTTCAAATTCCTACTTGGCCATTAGCATTCCTTGGTGGGTGGCCATAGTGAACCATTCCTCAAAAATCTCACAAACCTGTCAGGATCATCATAAATTAGATATGACTTGATGGCACATAACAGCAATACAACTAAAATTGACATTTAAAATATTTAATTAGGATTTTTGTCAATATCATTTGGCCTTCCACTGCAAGCAGACCTTACTACTGTATTATGAATCTGGGAGAGATTAATGCTTATTGGAAAATTCATTACACTGTTACATGAGATACTGTTTCCATACAACTCTCATCATGTTATATATGATATTCTGAGTGTAGCAATGGGTTAAATTCTTGGTTTGTTTTTAAGTGTGTACTTGTACGATCCCCCACCCTGCTTCCATTATTGGCCAGATCAGTCAGTGTTTCGTATAGTGCACTGGCAAAGTAATAGTACTGTGTTTGAGCAGCCTGCTGCCTCCGGTAGCAGATGCTGATGGCAGACAAAGTGACATGTGCCCTGCACCTCCTGGGTTTGGTTGTTGTTGTTGTTGTTGTTTTGCCATTTGTGTCTTTAATAAAACAGGTACTTACACATTACTCACTCATGACTGTCTTCATGTGTTTTTCAGCATAGAAGCACAGTCTACAGAGGGAATCAGAACTGGAAAAATTCCTTTTTGGATTATAACTTGTAGCATCTCTCAATAATGAGTTACAGTCCAAAAAAGTGATTTTTTTTCCAAGCTGCAGAGTTGTTCTCTGTGAAGTGGGTTTTTGTTCTATCTTTGTATATCCCTTGCTTTTTTCTTTCCCCCTTAGTCCATTAATTAAGATGTTGATGATTCGGGGCACAGTGACCTCTGGGAGGCATCATCTGCTCCATTAGCCTGCCTGACCTCAATCCAGTAATTGTTCCTCTTTCAGCACAGCTTTCTGTCCAGTTCAGTTACCTACCTGATACAGTAGTAACTACCCTGTTTCTCTGAAAATAAGACAGGGTCTCATATTAATTTTTGCTCCAAAAATGCATTAGGGCTTATTTTCATGCAATCTGCAAAAAAAAGTCAGCCACTAGTAACTGATATCTCAATGGCTTTAATAGGACCTAAGCTGGCTGGATTGCTCAGTGGTTTAGACCAGAGGTTCCCCACTGTGCCTCCTGCATGTGGAGCCAGCCTGGGTGGCCTTGGGCAAGCTGCATGGCCCCAGGGATCTCCACCAGAAGAAGGGAGTGGCGAGCCACTTCTATATATTCCCTATATGGAAAACCCTGAAAAAAGGTCATTGTAAGTCAGAATTTACTTGATGGCCCATGGCTACAAATAGGAGATGGACTGATTCCCTAACAGAAGCTACAGGCCTTAGTTTGCAAAAGCCCAGCAAGGCTGTTGAGGACATTGTGGAGATTGCCCATTCATGTGGTCGCCATAAATGGGTGGGGCGGGGCGCGACTTGAGGGCACTTAACATGTTTTATCCAACCCATTCTCTTTTAAATCAGGATTGTGTAACTGTGGTCCTCTTAAAGTGGCTGTTGCCCTTGGGCTTCCATCCACCCTATAGTATTCAGCATAGTGGGTGGTGAGGGAGCTGGAAGTTGCATTAATGTCTGCAGGACTCTCAGTTCCTGCTTTTAAGTTAAGATGTTTATTTATTTATTTTTTTGGCTTTTATACCGCCCATCTAAAGGATCAGAAACAAGAGTGTGGTGTAGCAAACAGGTTACCCAATCAGGCAAGGGTTTAGGAATGCTCATTAAATGCCAGCTTCCTATTTGCTTCCAGATAATTACCAGATACTGGATGTGGGCTGAAATCCTGAACACACAGATGTAGGAGTAAGGCCCTATTAAACTCCAAGGGGCTAATTTCAGAGTAAACATGGATAGGATCCAGCTGCAAATTTCATAATTTGGCAGGAGCATAAATTAAGGGATCTGGCTGTTCTTTTGCAGTTGCCCTGTCCTTTACAAATGTACAGAAATAGAGGAACGCCAAGCACCACATACCCATAATGCCTTGCTTTGCCATTATCTCCAGAAGTAGCTTGTATCAATGAACACAGGTCTGATGGTTTAAAAGGAGCAGGCTTTTTAAAAACTGCATATACAGACACAAGCCCCATCAGGAGCTCTTTGTGGAGGAGAAGCTATGAAGAAAACTTTGGGTCAACATAGGAATCTCACCACTGTCCAGGTGGCCAGACTTGTTTTTGGTCTGGGTGAACTTCTGCAGATGTTTCTTTTAGCCCTTGTCTGTGCCTTGAAGGCCAGCTGTGGTGGGTCATTCATACCTAGAAAAGCAGCAATTGTGAGAGGTACTTTGGGAAATTAGGTTTCAAGCATAATTCTGACTCCAGAAAGTTGCTAAAGAACCTAAACACTCCAGGGTACTTCATAACTTCCCAAATCTCTCCACTGGGCACACAGTATAGGAAAATATTGTATCCTTCTCTCTGTGGACATGCTAACTGAAGAAACCTCAGAGCTACAATCCAAAAAATAAAGTTTTAATAGCTGCAGATCTATCCAACCCGAAATATATTACACTTCTAGATGTAGGCAAGTTGCTGTACACCATTGGCTGGGGCTTTCCACCTTGCGTACATGTAAAATATGTGTCTACAACGACATAGATCTTGATCTATCAGACAAAACCAATGAAACTGTAATATATGTGAAGCCACTGGTCTGTAAAAAAAATCAGTATGACCTATTTGAAGAAACAGT